GGATATTCAAAGTGTAATTAAGCAAATTATATAAAACAGGAAAGTGGACAAGCATGAAAGGTAGGGAGCACGGGGATGCAAGCAAGCTCATTAAATAATTGAAGTACAAAGAACATGTATTCGTCAGGATTTCAGCAAGCTTTGCTATTAGCAACAAAAACTTCCTTTACCTGAAGATTGGCATGAGTGCCACGTATGGAAGCCCACTCAAAAAATATTATCAAAGTAAAGTAAACCCACTTTTAATATAGGATTTCAGCAAGCTTTGCTATTAGCAACAGGGAGTAAAAGGCATAAGGACGTAAAGTAAGACAAGAATAAAAAAGAACCTTTTTTTTTAACATACTTCTAAAAGAAAAATACAGATTTGAGAACAGGGAGTAAAAGGCATGGATTCTTTGTATTATGACCTCAATACAAGGGATTGTGACAAGAATCTTCAGACAACATAAAGAAAAAGAAAAATCTTCAAAAGAAAATTAAGGATTCATGAACTCACTAGCTATCATATATATTATTTAATTTTCCAAGGCTGAAACAAATAAACATATACATATATGAGCTAATATATTATACAATATTTTCAAAAATTGTTAAAATCATAACTACGAAGCAGAGAAGATAATTTTTTGAAGCAAAACTTGTATTAAACTTTAACAAAATCTAACTATAAATCTACGAAATAGTTTACCAATTCAAAGTAAGAAGAAGAAGAAACGCAATCTGTTCACCAATACAAAAAATCCAAAAAAAAAAATATTGAACTCACCGCAAGTTGGCCACTGGAGTCGGAGATGGTGCGACGAGTGAGGAGAGAGTTGAACCAAGAAAAACTCGAAGAGAATGGAGGAGAGGAGACTACTCTTCGCCTCTGCCCTCAGCCCTCTGCCGACTGCGTTCCAAAATTAGATTTAGGGCAAATGATTGTCTTATTTTTCATTTCAACTTTCAATAATTTTAATTTTTTTTAACCCATCGGGTTAACCCGGCCCGTTTTCCTATCAACCCGTTTAACCCATTTGTAAACGAGGCGGGTTACATTGGGTTAATGGGTTGGGACTCATAACCCAGCCCGCCAATTTGAGCGGGTTAAACGGGCTGGCCCGATGGGCTTGGCCCATATTGCCAGCCCTATTTTTAGTATTTCATTCTATTTGTTTAATTTATGATAAGTTTCTTAAATCTTTTGATGAATAATAACTTGTCAGATGTAATACCCTTTAATTGATAATATCTATGATTTATTTTTTATTAGACTAGAGCCAAGTTAACAAATCCAAGTACACCTTTCATATACATATAGGAGGCTGCAGAAAAATAATGTAAAGATGGAATGACTCTGACTGACTCCAATTGCTCATCTATGATATCTCATTTTAGAAAACGATTTTGTGCTGTATGGAATTCAACACTTTTTATTTGGATCAAAGAAGATATTTTATTAGAGAAAGAAATACAGAAGGTTGGAGGATAAGAAATCCTCAACAAAGACAAAACAAAACGAGGAGAAACTGAGGCAAAGAAAGGGAACTTCTAAAAACTGGTCAGTGTAGGAGAGCTCTTTGCATGTCTGAAATACTGATTCCCTTAAACAGATCATTTGCTGAACACCCAAGAGAAACCATGAAAATGATTCTATCCCGTAGCAAATTCAGTGATGAAACACCCATGAAGGTATGGACATTCTTTCCAGCCACAAAATCCATAAATCACATGTTGCTTCAAGACTTTATTTTCCTTCTTACCTAAGCCCTGAAAATGAATGTGCACAAACTGATCCAATGAACTGGGGCAAACCCAATGCTCATCTGAAATACAAAAAAGCTTGTTGCAAAGGAATTGCACTACTTGGCAGTGAAGAAATAAATGAGGCACAGTATAAGACTCAAATCTTGACACACATATCAGGAGGGAGAGCTACCTGAGGCCATCTAACTTGTAACAAGTCATTGGTGTTAATCCTATTGAGTAAAGCCTGTCCAAACAAAAGCTTTGACATTAGAAGGAGCTTTAGAATTCCAAATTGGATTATCCATGGAAAATCTCTCCCTTGAGGGAGAGAATGTATGCTAAACTGAAAGTAAGATTTGCAAGAAAAATCATCTGTAGAATGAAGGTTCCAGATTCTCATATCAAGATGAGAAGAAAAAGGAGCAGAATCAAGTAAGGCCAAAAGGGACTGGAGTTCAATGGCTTCTCTATCATTTAAATTTCCAAAAAATTGGAAATTCTGGGAGTGAACGAATCATCTGAAGTAAAAAAAAATAAAAAAAAATTGATGGGTAAATTGTGAACTGTAGATAGGCAAAAAAAAAACAAGGAAAAGCTTCTGATAAAGGGGCATCATGCAAAACCGGGTTTATAAAATGAAAATATCCTTCAGAAATTTATTCCAAGGACTTGCGAGTCACATTTGCTGCTACTTTGGTATCTCAATTGTTCGGATGAAGACCATACTTTGAATTATCTGATGCCATAAAACATTTCTCTCCATAGGATGATATAATTGATGAACGGATGATAAAGTGAGAGAAAGTAGAAGAAAATGAGAGATAAGAGCAAGAGAGAATATTATAGTTTTTCATAATCTGAAACTGATAAGAGAAAATCACATTACACTGGTTGGGTTGTTACATTTGTAATGGAATCAGAAACTGATTCTCAGAACAGAATCTGATCCAGCTAACTGTTTAACGGTTATCTTCATAAACTGTGTGAGAGAGAGACTCAGCTAACTGTCTGACAGTAGTGTGTGTGTGTGTGTGACTCTGTTTACTGTCCGACAGGAAAGTATGTGTGTCCCCAACACCTGACCAAAGAAAATTCTTCATAATCCTCTGTTTCTGATAACTACACCTGGCATTTTAAAATAAAACATGTAATAAATAGGTATGCTGGACAGGCAAGACTGGATTATAGTGATTCAATCATCTAAAGAATAGAAAAGTCCTTTCCAATTGTCCCACTTTTAGAATTCTTCTGTACCACGGGTCCCAAAAGGAAGTAGCTGTGGATTGCCTCCGAATGGCACACCCAAATATACCAGAGGCCATTGTAAGACCTGAGCCAAAGCAGTAAAAGAAGACAGAATTCGGTTGTCCATGTTTATTCCTGCAATACCACTCGTAGTCAAATTAATCTTTTAACTTGGAACCATCTCAAAAAATTACAAGATATAGAGTTGACACGAGCTGTCGAACTAGTGCAAATTAAAATAAATCAGGTTTATTAAAAAATTTGTAGCCAAGTGCAAACCTGAGTCGTCTCTCAAGGAAATTTCAAGGGTTGAAATCGCTAATTAAAAATAAAAAAGGGGGATTTTTGTTCGATTCAAATTGAAATAAAGCAAAACGTAAAGATTGAGATTAAAAACAAGATTAAAACAATCAACCTTGAATTAGAATTCCATGGTCATCCGTCATTGGACAATTGATTGCCAATTTTGTGGTTGATCCTAAACAATTCAGGATCCCTGTAATTGTTTAGGAAACCACTGTCTAGGCAATCGCTTAGCGTTTGGTCAAATGCGGCGCTTCAATTTATGCGATTGCGAAATATCAGCCCGATTGACCTGAGATCATTGGGTTAATCAACCTAACCACTAAATCTAGTGATTAGTTTCTTCCTAGGAACGCGATCGCGTATCTCAGATTGAACATCCACAATCGCGCAATGTCAACCTGAGTTGGAAAGAGAAACAAATTTGGTAAATGGGAAGCACAAATCCTTTGGATTAAACCATAGAATCCTTAATTCTTGGGTTGATTAAGGAACACTTAGCCTAGCATGGCTAAGGTAAACATAATTAAAAATTAAAAAGAAGAGAAATATGAAGAACAGATTGAATCTTCCAGAGAAACTTGTCAAACATACAAAATTTCAAAAATAAAGACTGCCGAAAAGTTTCTTAATTTCGCCCGTATAACCCACATCCCAACCGGGTTTTGGGCTCCACTAATTTCGGTCCATAAAAATAAAACAGAAATAAAACTGAAACAATGGTCTTGGGTCTCAAAAGAATTGTGTTCTAATTACAAACTTAAATCCATGTAATTAAATAAAATTCTAGCAACTCGTTTCTGACTTGGGCTCTATCTTCGACCATCATATTGTTCGAACTGGGCTTTTATGTCTTTATAACATTTGTAGCCCTCTGAATGAGCTGCAAAACGCAGCAAAATGGGGGTCAATCAGACACCTGTGAAATGAGTTATGGTCAAAATACTGTAATGTAAAGCTGGAAATTAAGGACGGAAATAAATTAAACCCAATAAAAAATAAAAAATCCAATTTAACCCAAAAGATCATTATTTACAATTCAAATAATCCTAAAATACTAATCAAGAGTAACAAAAGAGTGCATTAAAATATTCATTATCAAGAGTGCATAAAATTTATTGGTCATATCAGGTTGTTAGATAATAATATAAACCATTAAAATGACCTTCATCCAATACCTTAAGGTTTTGGGTTGAAGTGGTTCTTTACATGATATAAGAGCTTTAGTGACCATAAGGTCACGAGTTCGATCTTTATCACCCCCCATTGTGGAATTAAATAAGCATAAGGTAAAACCAAATAAAAAATGAAAAATTGGGCCTATCCAATATCTACGTTTCAAGCCCAAAGGACTCTTACGTGAGGGGTGTGTTAGAAAATAATATAAACTATTAAAAAGACCTTCACCCAATACATTAAGGTTTTGAGTTGAAGGAGCCTCTGAGCCTCATTTGTTATCTATACAAACTTTTCACACAATTGCAATATGTTGCATAATTAGCTAGACATACCTGATTATGGACTTTCCTTCAAGGAGGTTTTGTTCTCTTTCTTTTTTGGGTTCCTAAACCATTTCAGTTCTGTTATTCCCTAGATTCATATTGAAGATCATAGATGATAATTCAAAGACGCTATAACTAATTACGCTGACTTCTTGCAGATAGTTTCCTTTGCTGTAAATATAGTGCATTATTCGAAAGACTAATGAAACTTGCTTGCAGATCTGATGTTGATTTCAAGGAATTTTGCTTGCAAGTATTATTTGAGTGTGTGAGCAAGGATAGACCTGGTCTTTTACAGGTAAGTGTATTTAGAAGTTAGTTCCTATTTACTAAATTCAATAAATAATGATGATCCAATTTTAATACTTCAATCCTGGTTGCGTTACCAAACATATTACAATCTTTAAATTTTTTCTATGATTCACATGGAAAGGTGTAATATGGTTGGATGCATCTTATGATTTAGGATTTGTTGAAACCAATGTAAGATTTTGCACATAAGCAATGTTGAATAGCTTATAAAATGTGATTTTGCCCTACCGTTGAATATGAATATTCTCATGTTGATCATACTGCCAAATTTCAACTAAATTGCTTCTATCCATTAGTAAAAATTCAAGTAGTTAATGATCTCTTCTATTTTAGATTCCACATGTTGGGCGGTAATATTATGTACTAAATTACTAACACAGTATAAATAATTTTTGAATTAACATGGAATTTTATGAGTATGATCTACATAATGTAAACTTCTGAAATGAGTGGTTTAGGTTACCACACGTGTGAACAATATCTGCTTCTCACTTGATATGTCCTCTGTGTGTGTGTGTGTGTTAAGTTGGTCTATGTTTGGTATAACCATTAGGTAATGAGTTTTAGCATTTCTTAAAATTGGAATATTCTGATAGAACATTTATTGATGGTTTTATTATGCAGGTATATTTGTCATTATACACTACTGTTCAATTAATGGTTGATCAAGTTAGTACGGGTACCATTGTTTTTGGAGATTCACTCTCTATATCTGGTTTTAAGGTGAGTTTCACTTAATATTAAAATTGAACTTTCTTTACTAGTAATAATCTGGTTTTCTTACCATTAGCGATCTCCTCTGGTTTGATCATTCTGAACTTTTGCCATTGGTCTTGAGTAAATTTTATGGTTAAGACTTAAGTTATGGTTAAAGCTGGCTAGAGAGCCAAGCCATTAGGCTTATTTTATTAAATATGGTTCCTGGAAAACACCCATTGGATACCATCGTATACATCTCAATTAGACATCAATTATCATGTTTCCCTAGGGACATCATTTTGTAGATCTATTTGCGATTTGTTTTTCAAATCAAATAAATCTTACTGCATGAGTCTTTTAAGCATCTGCTTGAGGGTGAGCTTTGATGCAATGGTATGATTGTTTGCTTGTGTCATGGATTCTAGTCATAGAAATTGCCTTCTGCCAAGGGATAAGGCTGCATACATTTGACCCTCTCAAGGCATCATAGTAATGATTGAAGTCTCGTGCACTAGGCAACCCTTCATAATCATGTGCATGACTTAATGCTAACTTTATCTCCTTGCAGCTTGCACTGACTTATATTGAGGCATTGATGACTGGAAAATTATCTGCTCCAAAAGGAGGAATCGTACAGTCAACATTTGTTGGTTCTCTTAGGAAGCAGGTGGAAGAACTCCTAAATTGTTCCCAGGAATTGAAGGATGATTTTCACAAATATTTGAAATATGGGAAATGGCCCGATGAGGAATCCCAAGATAAACGTTCGATACTTCTTTCTTGGTTCCTACAGTGGTTTGATGTACCAGCTTCATCTGTAATCAAGACAGCTATTGATAGAGTCAAACCTAAGCACATGTTGTCATCTTCAGTCCCCTTGTTGCGTCTGTCTTTTCCAAGAACTCATATTAATGTTATTAACGAGATAGATAGATGTTTGTCATGATTGTAGTTCTGTTGATTATATATATATGTATTTGGATAACGATTTTACAAATATTTATGTATATTAGTCTTCACATCCCTACCGCTGGCAAAGCGTTTTTACTTACATTATCGTATCCCCTTGCCATCTTTCCTGTTACGCAAGCCAAATTAACTTTAAGGGGGTGTTTGGTTGGAGGTGAAATTTTTTTTTTCTAGGAAAATGAGATAGGGAAAATTATTTGCCTATATTTAATAGGAGGTGAAGTAAAAATATGATTGGAATTTTTTTCCCCATCATTTGCTTTTTTATGTAAAATAGTTGGGGAAGATTATCATTGAAGGGGTAAAATTGTTTTTTTTTTTTCATGTGATTTTAAAATTAACACACAACATCAGTAGAATTAACTTAATATTTTCAGAAAAATTTTGGTCTATCAAACACTTTTTAGTAACTTACCTTGAAAAAAAAAATTCATCATATCATGGGAAATTATTTTATTTCAGCAAAAAATTTTTTTTCCTCTATCAAACATCTCCTAAAATGGATTTACTTGGAAACTGGTACATGTGTATCTATAGATTTATCTCTTTTATTATATTATCTTGTTTTTATGGCTTTTCATTAATCGAACTGACTTTGACTGGGAATACAAAGAGCAAGCCATGATGAGCATTATTTGCAACTCGCAAGTTAACCATGAAGGTTATTGAGTCAAATTTTGGTTATTGAGCAAGTCATATTGTTTGTATAAGCGAGTGTTGCAGAAAAGTCGTTCCAGTAGCCAATAGTCAAATTTTTATTTCTTACTAATCTACAAATTTTGGTATCATTGCATTTTCAACTATTAAATTATGTGTACAAACGTATTCAATAGTCATTCCGTAGCCAATAACATTAATTGGCAAGAACTTACCAAATTTTTAGTAAGCACCGTAGAGTTTCTCTCTCTTTTTTTAAAAAAAATATATATATTCAACATGAACCTTAATTTTGTCTCAAACTATTTGAATTGGCGGTTGATGAATTTAAATAAAAAGAAAAGATAGAGAAAAAATAAGAAATAATAATAACAATAGTAAATAAAAAGCTAGATAAAATGAAATAAAATAAAAAATAAGAGAATCTACCCAAAAAAGAAAAAGAAAAAATAACTACGAAAAAACATTCAGCTATATTAAATTTGATCATTGACGGGTTCTGATTTGGTCTAATTACTTACGGAGCCTAAGCCCGGCCATCTAAGATCGAGTCAAAATTAGATGTTTTTTCTTCGATAGAAAATGTATTATTTAATCGGAGTTATTTTATTCTCCACGTGTAGATACGTAGTATCATATGCAAATGCAAATATTTTGAACTTAAAAAGTTGAAACAATTAAACTTTGACTATAAAGTGAACGAAAGCATCGTACTTTATTTTCTCTTCTTTCAAGGAACAAGGATTCATTGTACAATTTAGGCATGTGATGTGCTTACCGGCTTACGTTCTCGGCTAAATTGGCTTAACAAAGAAACATGAAGAGATAAAAGAGGGGGCGAAAATGCCCAAGTCCTAAAAAAATTAATAAGTGACTCAAAAATTACAAAAACTGAGGCATTACAGGGAGAAAGAAGAGCTCTTTTCTTAAGTAAAAGAAGAAATAATAACAATTAAGTAAAAAAGAAAAAGAAAAAAAGAAAAGGTTGAGAAACAAAAGTATTTTGTGAAGATATATCTATAGGTTGTATGTCAGGATTGAGAGATGATACGCGTATAAAGGAACTCGTTCCAAATGTCGGGTAATCCCGGTAAACACCAATGGATACAATCTGCATAAGTAGCTGGGTCAGCTTGCTGTTCCGGAGTTAGCATCTTGCCTTGACGTATGGTATAAACAGAGGTATGTGCATCTTTTCTAAACTCTGACAAGGTAGTGATGTTAACGAAGAACACTGGCACCTTCATTGACTGTGTCACATTGTTGGCAATCACAAAAAGTCGACGATCTGTGCCTACATCCAACGGGGTGGACATGTTGGTAATCGGAGTGGTTTCCTTAGCACATTTTATACCATCCGGATTGTTCCAATCCTCACTCCTACAAAATCAAATGGTTAATTGTAAATGTGAAATTCAAAGGCAAATGAGTAAAAGGATTCAGAATTGTCAAGTACACACACACTGTATAAAAAAAACTTCAGTGGGTCACCAACTAAGATAGAAGTATTAAATCAAATCAGGTTTTATTCCATTCCATCCTAATTTAAACCAGTTAAACAATGATAACAAATGTTAATTTATTTTATTTCACTCCTTCCAACCATTTTTATCAATTCAAATATAGCCCTAAACAAAATTGATATTTTAATCGGTGAATGACATGTATTATATAGTTTTGACTAATTATTAAAATAATGTACATATAGCAAACTGATTAATTAGATATTTTTTTTTTCCACAAACATGAACAGTTTAAAAAACGAGTTGTTTGTGTCACCCTGTTTAATCAAACACGTATTAGATTTTCATATTAGATACGATGGAACGTTTTAAAATATATATTTACACATTAAATATTTATTGTATCTATATGTCTTTATCTATATGAAATATTGTGTCTGTATCACTGTTCATGTTACAAAATAATTGTTTGTTGTTTATCCAAAACTTAGTTTTCAAAGACGAAATTAAGATAGGGTCATTACTTGATATGAAGAGGGGACGTGCCGGTGAAGAAAACTTTGGTTCGATTTGGGTCAATGTTGTCATCCACCCATTTTGACCATGTATGAAGGACTCTTTCATATGCTATTGGCCGAGGGATTTCATCGTATTCCGTGGACCCTTCATCAAATGACCCTCGTCTATTGCATCAAACCCCACGAGTAGTACATATCAGTTTCATGAATTTGCTTGAAAAATACAAAACTTAAAAAAGAAGAAAGAAAGAGGGTAGTGTGTGATATTATGCTTACAAGACTTTCATAGAGAAAGTGTTCATCCACCATATGTAGGTGTTAAAGATAAGGTAGTCCGCATTCTTCCAATTCACCCCATGCTTTTCGATCGATTCAGGCATAATTATACGGTTCAATATGCTGTGCATAAGTGGATCATCTGAATTTGATTCTACAAGGAACGGTGCCCAGTAGAACTCCACGGTAGTAATGTGTTCTGGCTCCTGCACACACATAACCCAATTGGAGTGCTTCCTAAGCAATATTGCCTTTCTTAACTACCATAAGATTGGCACACTTTTCTAAAGCCAGATCCAATAAAAAGGTGACTTGGTATTTAAACAACCCCATTTGGTCATCACATTCTGTGGCCCACCATCGATGCACAAAATTATTCTTATTCTAGCCCATGAGAGTAATAATTAATGAAGATGAATAATACTTTATCAATCTAGTATGATGTTATGCTTGTGGCTCTGGCATATATATCTCCTACTAGAACACTCAAGAGAACAAGGAGAAAGAAAAACCTCGATTTTGAAGATTGCAAGAGAACCAGTCTTGTACCAGGTCTTTTTGTGTGAAGGAACCGCAGAATTTACCATACAAACCATTGATTCCCATTGGTTCCTATTCAGTGAGTCTCCAACAAACATAAGCCTCTTCCCTCTAATCTTCTCAAACAAGAGTTTTGGTTTGAACCTTTATAAGTCACAAAAATGCAATCAATAAGAATATTAGCTTAAAAAAAAAAAAAAAAAAACTGAAAATAGAAAATGGAAATCTAAAGAACCAAATTGCATACTTGGGCAAAGAGCAATCTCGGGGCTGCCATCTCCAGTTTTGATACATAGAATCAGGTCGTCCATTCCTCATGCATGTCACTTGGGCAGTGAGGAATTCACATTGATCCTCTTTGTACAAAGGATGTGTCATGTTATCTAAAACCCACTCCCCTGTAAACAAGTCACAATCTTCTGGAGGCAACTCAACATGTTCTTCTTCCTCTTCCTCTTCCTCTTCATCTTCCTCTTCATCTTGCAATTCAATCTTCTCTTCTTTCTCCGTCGCCCCAACCATTTTCAAATCAACATGTTCTTGAGTTTCATCAGAAACATCATCCTGAATTTTCTCCAGTTGAGCTCTTGAATTCTTGGAAACTGTGACTGTGACAGTGTCTTCCACGTCTTTCTCGTTGTTCCTTCGAACAACAGTGTCATCAACGTCTTTCCTTACATACCCTTGATCAGACTCAACTGGTTTGGATTCCCCTTCTTGGGTTTCTTGAGCTTTAGGCCTCGAAAATGGAAACTCGGCAATTGACTTAACGTCCTCGTTGTACATGAAGATCCCAAAGAGGAATATGGAGAACACCACGACGAAAACGGAGAGGTTGTTGTTCTTGCGACCCTTCATTGGCCCTGTTTCTGAGTTGAAAAGAGGAGTCTTGCGACGAAGAGGCTGCATGGGAAAGAAAGAAAGAGTGTATATCAGAATAATCACTGAGCAAAGAAGAAGGAGGGAAGAGAGGTAGAAATATAGAGAAAGAAATTAGAGACATTGATTGAGAGAATAATAAAGAAGAGACTTGAATTCAAGTATTAGGTTGTGTTTGTTTTAGTTGGTGTTTGGTGAAATGGTCTTGTCTTTCAAGCATTCACAAGAGGCTACTGGTGGAGGGAGAGTTGTCTTTCTCAATTCTCAAGCTCTCTCTCTATATATATTTTTTTGTTTTTGTTACATCTCTCTTATATGTTTTTATGTTATATTTTATGACTCAAGACGGTTTTTACCAGTATAAATTTTACATTTTTGATATTGTTTATATCTAATAGTTCTAATTTATCATATATTTGAACGGTTAGATACAAGTAAAGAATGGGTCTGTGGGATATCATGTTACATAATGTAAGTTATGTAAATTGTGTCATGTTATCCCTTATAACTATATACTACGAGTAATATATCATTATAATATTAAAATTAATTTTTTCTCTCTTCTAATCAGCCAACGGCTCCTGAAAAGTGAATGAAGAGAAAAAAAAAACTTAATATTATAACTATGTACTATCCGTAGTACATAGTTATAAGGAATAATATGACACAACTTCTGTCATATAAGATAATACTTACATTTCCTATATATATATGTATACGTATTTTTTTTTTTCTGTTTTTAATTTCCTATGATCTATTGGCAACCACTTTCAACATCTGGCTCATATTCAGACAATACGTGAGGGAGAGGAATTCAGAGGAGTGATCTCAAAGCCTTCAAAGTTGGTAGCAGTCTCAGTCAGTCACTTGAAAGAAAGGGAGGTGTGGTGGTTTTGAGGGTCTTTGGCGGACATAATGTTGTTTTCTTTCAATTTCAGATTGCAAGGTAAAGTTTTAAGTTTGATGGTCAGAGATTTAGAGTTTTTGTCTTGAGTTCAGAAGCCTACTCCCAAGTTAATGAGTCAACTAATTAAAAATGGCATAAATATGTTAGTATTCTGCTATATGCAGAGAACTTATATAACGGATTTAATCCTGCGTTCGTAGGCCATGGTTTTTTTTATTTATGTGACTCAATACATGTTAGAAAATCCACATGATACGTTCACATTTTGAAATAGAAAATAAAAATCTAAAGTCTTTCCGTTAATTAGCTCCGCTTAGCCATCCCGCATTTTATAATAATTTATCTCAATATTAGCATTAGTTGCCCCTGATTTGCATATTACGCATGGATAGTTGCTTGCTTTGATAATTGTAAATCTCCAGATCTGATAGGGAAATATTTTGTAAATTTTCCAGATCTGATAGGGAAATATTTTGCAAATTTTTGGCACAACAAATGAGGGGAACTACTCGAACTCTCGAAGTTCTAATTATTTCGTCAGTGACTCACTGATAAAATAATTTCTTTAATAAGGTCAAAAATGGGGGGAATTGAACTGTTTCTTGTGACACCAAAAAATAAAAGGTGGGTTTCTTTGGGTTTCTTTTGATAAAGTTGCGCGAAATGAATAAATCAAACCTGAGATATATAAGTGAAACGATCTATAAATATAAATGTGAGTGGTAAAGTAAATGGCGTTGAAATGCAGATTACGTTTAATGTATTACTCTGTATCCATTTTTTCTTTTTCTAATTAATGCGCCTTTTGTAACTTTCAATTACTGATAATTTATAAAAAAAATAAAAAATAACCTTTTAAGAAAGGCTAAGTGTCCGTTTGGATGAACTTTTATTCCTAAAGAAATTTTTTTTATAAATAAAAGTCCTTTTGAGAATTTTTAGATATTTGGATAACAACTTTTTAAAAAAGAAAAATTTAAAATAAAAGTTAAAATGCTGCTTTCTTTTATAGCTGTTGTTGCTTTTGAAAAAAACAGAAATTAAAAGATAACATAAATTAATTTTTTTTGGAAAAAAGATAAAATAAGTTTTTAAAATACAATTTTAACCTTATCCTATCATACCTATCAGTGGCGGAGCCACATATGGTCTGGGGTGGCTTCGGTCCGGGCTAAATTTTAACAAATTGTACTTATCATATATAATTATATAATTAATTATAATTTAGCCTGGTCTAAAATTGTAATTTGGCTCGGGCTAAAATTTATAATTTGGTCCTATCAAAAAAATAAAATATATTTGGTGAGAGATTTGGGTAAGTTGTATTCAGTTATGTGTTTAATTTTCACTTATATAAATTTTTTTTAATATATTTAATAAAATTAAAAAATATTTAATAAAATTATAATTCTTTTTGATACTGTCTGCTCAGGTGTTTTTTATTTAATATAATTTAAATATATTATTTTATGAATTAACTAAAATTAAAAAAAATAAATACACATGTAATTTTTTTGCCCGGGCTCCAATTGGAGCCCGGCTTCGCCAGTGATACCTATTTTATCTCTCCTTATCCCACGATCATGCTATTTTATCTCTTCTTTGTTGTAATTTTATATATAAAACGTGCTTTTTTTATTTTAATATCCAAACAACTTTTTTTATATAAAAGTTATTTTCAAATCATACATCCAAACATAAAATAACTTTACCTTTTAAAAAAATTTATTTAAAAAAAACAATGCATAAAAAGTCATTTTTTTAAAAGCTCGTCCAAACAAGCCCTAAGTTCATTATTTTTCAGCCGATTCGCGATTAACACACAATCTAGGCTTTCAAGCTTCATCCTATCATGGTGGGAATATATGATCAATTGATCATAAGTGCAATTTAATTAAAGGAGATGTGTTTCTTATGTTGCATGAAACAAATTATCTCATGCAACACACAAAAAGTGAGTGAGACCCATCTTTTTCCTTTCTTTCTCTTTTTTAAAGTGGGTCCTACTCATTTTTTTATGTGTTGCATGGGATAAATTATCTCATGCAACATGAAAAAAAATCAAACCCTTTAATTAAAGGATGATTTTTGTTGGCAGGATAGTGAGAAAGTCAATGGAACATCCTCGGGATAAAGGAGGCCTGCTACTATTATAGACTGCTTAATTTATTTTATTTTTCTTTTTTGGTAATTTGATCTTGAACTCATGAATAACTATAGTTACTTAATATTTTTTAAATTTATTTATATTTTTCTTATAAACTGAATAACTATTATAGTAAATATTGCTAGATATAATCTATATTGGATGAATTAGGATAAATTCTATGTCTCTCTATTTTCTTCCTTTTCTCTCATTTACTTTGCAATTGTTTGTATTCGGTCCCAATATTATGAGATTTTGTATCATGAGGTATTCGATTTTTAACGTAAAAAAAATGTTTATGTTATGGGACAAGAACTTTGAAGTCAGATGCTCGAGTGTTAGATAATTAAGTTTCAATTAACTATTGAGTATGTCTCATTGTATTCAAACAAAGATTTTTGTTGTTAGATTCATGAATAGCTACGGTTAGGTTTTTTAAATCCTATTCATATTCTCTTGTAAATCGAGTGAATTGTAACGAGTGAAGGTGAGAAGAATATAATACAGAGAAGTTGGACGTAACCTGTATTGCGTGAATCATAATAAATTGCTGTGTAAAATCTCTCTTTTCTTTCTTTTTACTGATTTCGATTTGTGTGTCGATTTTCAATATTAAGAAGACTTCTTAATTGAATAACTATTAGATGATTAATACTATTTAAACCATTAATATTATCAACACCAACATTACATTTATCCTAAATTAATTAGAGTCGATAGATGAATTCAAATAAAAAATACGAAAGAATTAAGAATATGAGGCTCTATTTAAAGGTAATATAAAAATTGGAGGAAAGATAAAATATATATATGAAGGAATTAAGAAGCTCGAAGCCAACAAAATAATTATTTATATATTAGAATTATTTTGCTTACCAAAAACGGTAGCGAGTGGTTACAAACTGAACGTAAAGAATAAAAAAGAAAAACAACCAAATAATAATAATGAAATACAAGAAAGGGTTAGCATTTAAAATGTACATGAGAGTCTCCAATATATCCATGTCCTTCCGAGATAGATGTAACTAATCCGTTCGAGTTGAATCTCTTCAGTGACAGAAGCAGCTACTGGAGAGGGAGAGGAAAATGCAAAAGGCAGTTTACCTTTAAGTGAGTAAACAATAATCATTCTTGGGCTAAGTCCTTTTTTTTATAGGAGAGATTCCCAATGATACTAGGACTTAGAGAGGTCCTTATCTGCTAGGATATGAGTTATCTATTCTACCCTAGATGATATGGATAAATTATTTATTTTAAATATTTTTGAGTTTATTGATAAGGATTAAGATCGTCCGATTTACTCAGAAGATACACAAACAGTTTCAAGTCTATTTTAGAATCAAAACCCTAAAATATCCACATTGTATATAGTAACAAATTACAAAATCAGATTGAGATCATAGTTTATTCTTTAAATTTAAATAGTAACTGTGATTTTAAATTTCAAAAACAGTGATAAAAGAAAAGTGCTAAACTAGTTATTTCAACAGAAAAGAAACAAATTGATAGCAGGGGAGAGAGAAGAAACGTATATAAACTATTATCAAATTTTGAAAGTTAAAATAAAAGATAATATTTAGTTCAAAATTCTTTGATATACATGTGGTGTTTGTCCATGTATTATGTTCTATTATTTTATTTTTTGACATAATATGTTATATTATTTAGCCTATGGGTGAAAGAATCTTTTATAAAGAATTTTGGGATTCTTATACCATTCATAACGACTTCACACTATAATGAGGTACCAAAATCGAATTGTAGACATGGAGAAAATAAGTTAGGATTAACTAAAATTAAAGAAAAAAACTATGTATTTATAAAATAGTGGGTGCAAATTTGTGCAATATTATTTTAAAATAATGCATATTAAAAGGGCATGATATCCCTATCTGCTTCAATAATATAGGTATATCCTTTTATATTAAGAAATAGTTAAACTTGTTATTCCTACTGCCTACTTAATGGAATCTAAGCATTAATAAATAAAAATGCCCCAACTAAGGAAATGCATAAATAACTAAGGAAAAAATAAAAAACTGAGCAAGAACGTAATTTTGATTGTTTGAACCCTACTACCAAGGCTTCGTTAAATGCTAAATTAATAATTAGAGTTTTTAAGCTTCAAAGAAAAATTGGTTTTGGCTAGTGTGGATGGTTTGATCATTCATGATTGAACTAGCTAGGCAAAGGATAATGGTATTTCAAGAAACCGTGGTATTACGGTGGATTGTTCAAAAGGCGGATTCCAATGTAATATACAACATGATTCTTATTATAGTAATCTCCTAACTGCTATTGTTCTTGTAGTACTTAAAGAGAGGCTCGAACATTTTTTCTTTCAATCATAGGTGTGAATCGTGTGATAATTAGCTTGTTGGCAAGCTTTGCATTCAAGAGAAACATATAATATAGATGAGCAGTTAATTTTAGTTTGAAAGGCAAGCTTCTGAAAGCATCAAAGCCAAACATCTGATTAACATTAAGATGTATACATCATATTAGTTGAATGGCAACATCACTATGTTAAAGCCAAGCATGCCAATCCTAAAAGTGTTAACGAACCCCTAGATAAATATATGGAAAATTATCACCTAATCTTAACTATCACAACGAAATAAACAAAGGAATATTGGGAAACGAAAAGAGCCCTAATAAAAAAAAATCAATAGGGTCCAAGTCCAACGGTGAAAGGCGTGTAGCAGGTACAACCATAGGATGGGCCACGACTCAACTTTTCATGCCCACCAGCATGTCTTTTCAAATGCAGATTTGTTGGTTGCAGTTTGATGTAATTTAATCACACATATCGTTTTTTTCTTAGTATAAATAATTCTATAAAATATTTATTTTCATATTTTGATATAAAAAAATAGAAAAAGAAACCAGAACACTCATTGATGATAATTTTTTTATATCACATATTTTACATTTTTCCTTTTACACCTTTTTCTTTTGGAAAAAAAAAAAAAAGAAAGATAAAAAACTAACCTTTTTTTTCTTTGTTTTAAAAAAAAATGTAAAAAGAGGTAGAAAATATATTTGTGTTCAATCCATATATTTGAGGTGTTCAATCCACTTGTAGGCTGCGTTCATGATTTATCTACTCATTGGAGCGCTTAAGTTGTGTGTCAAATGGGACCTGATACATTAGGGACAGATCAAGATCTTTAACTAGATTTAGATTACTTTTAAGCAATTTTAAAAATTTTCTACTTGTACTTCCTCTTCCGTGCGGTGGTGACTGTACTAAAACTATCAATTGTTTTGTAGATTCTTCCATTTCATAACCGTAAATCCCTCCATTTCTTAGACTTCCACGATCATGGATGATACAGAGGCCCAAACATTTATCAGATTACTTAATGAATTAAATACCTTTACTTACATAGCCCATTACTGTTATTGTAGCCCAATGTTAGTTAGTAACAGAATGCAGTGTTATATACTCACGCATAATGAATGATAAGAGCATGGTTTATGTGAACGCTTCTCTCTCTCTCCTTCTAACTGCTTTCAGATCTCCCTGGTTACACAATAAGAGTAAAAATTATGACTCTGATTAGATTAAATCAATGTTTTAAAACTCGGCCTATTCATCAACTCGATCAAAGTATTGGATCATTGGTTTAACTGGTAAATAACTGTTTCAATCAGTTTAATTAAATTATATAATAAATATATTTTAAAATGCATTTTGATCACCAATTGAGGAAAACTTAAATGATAAATAGTAACACTACTCTTCATTGAGCGGGTTCGATTCCGGCCACTGCAATTTTTTTAAGTCGACCCGACCGATCCGATTTGAGTTTTAAAACATTGATTTAAACTCTTCAAAATCAATCCAATAAATAAATAGAGCTTACACATCTCATCCTCTCATTCAGCTTACGGGGCTAACATTTGTCAAATGGGTTGTGGACTTGAGAAGTATTAAAAATGGGCCTTCACATAAGAGTGAACCCAACCCAATACATTATAAGATGACAATTAAATCTCACACAAACTCACACATGGCTTGAAAAAGAAAAAGAAAAAGAATAAAAAATAACAGTATTACATCATCAGCAGGTGAGAGAGAGACAGAGACCTCCAACTTTTAAGTAACACGGTACCTATCAAGTGGATCTTTGAAATGAAGGCGTTCATGGTAGACTCTCCATGCATAGTCCTCAAAATCAAAAGTGTTGAACACCCTCCCCTCTCCTTCTTCTTCATCTTCTTCCTTTTGGTCCTTGTTGCTGCTGCCAAGGAGCGGAGCGACCCTGCTCTCTGTAGGAAGAGTTATCAGCAATGACATTGTTATGCACCGTGAGACATTTTCATCTCCCACCGTGGTTATTGCTCTGCCTCTCACTTTCTTTAACTTCCCATTGCTCCACACCTACACATTAATTGTTTCTTCATATAGTACCCCACTTATTAATATATCAGCCTTAAGATTAAAATTTATGTGCTCTTGAAAATAAAATAAAATAAAATAAAAATAAAAGTATATACGTAGATATAATAGAAAATTGTATAAATAATTAATCTTTCAATTAAGATATATGAAACCGATCCTTCAAATTAAAAGCTAAGGCACAGCACACAAAAACACACAAACACACGGACGTTCCCACACACTGCTACACACTACATTACCTCCTGGCCCACCTTGCTACAGAAGGGGCCCAGCCAACATAAACTATCCGGTGATCCACGTCTGGATTTGCACGTGAAACATGTAAGACTAAAAAAATTTAATTGTCATTTTATATTACATCATACATAAGAGCGTCAATAATCTAAATTGTTTAAAAATATTTTATCTATAACAACTATTATTCTAAAAAATAAATAAAAGAACATAAAATTCAAATTAATATAAGAATGACACCACAAAAACAACATCACTCTCATTCATTGTGTGACTCAAGTCTCAACTACTGAAAGAGGACTCATTGAAATAAATAATAATGCCTTGTTAGTTGAAATCGCATGCTCATTTCAAACTATACTTTATGGGTTTCAAAACTAAATTATTATACATGAATTTCAGAAGAGTATTTTACATATTATCATAAAAAAATTTAAACTAGCCAACATGATTACGTGACTATACATGGAATGGAAGCTTTTCCACGAAACCAGGCCACTAACCACAAGAAAATAAATTTTTATTGGGAAACTAAAGATTCCACACAAAATTTACAAACACCCAAATCATAAAGCTAAATAGCCAATGTCATTGTGTCTGAAAAAAAACAATAATTAATTCAAAACCTAAAAAGAAGGAGAAAATGTGACCTGAGCAATATCGCCAACAGTGACCAAGATCGAGTCCACGTGTGGCAACACGGAAACCCATCCTGAATCCGACAGCAACGAGTATTTCTGACACCTTATCTGGTACTGCAACCCGACTATGAATGGGTAAAACCCACCCGACATGCCGGGTCTGGTTCCTGACGGGCACTCCGAGACCCACATCACCGACCAGAACCGGGTCGGGTCATTCCCCACTGGGTTCTCGAACCCCAAGGCCTTCGTTAACCCATCAATGATATTCAGCCCCAGCTTCTCCAGGGCACGTGTGAACTCGCGCAGAGAAGCTAGTGCCAACTCGCTCGACTCGGTCGAACACGACGAGTCCAGACGGAACGACTCAGCGAGTCCGTCTCCTCCATCATCTTCGTCGTTGTCGTCGCCGCCACCGCCTTCGTAACCCAGAGGCCAGTTCATGGGGAAGAACGATTCCTTCTGGTCCCGAGAAAGGTCGAAGAGAGCGAGCGCTTCTGACTCGGCCGAGTTGGCGAGTTCGGAGGGAACGGAGTGATCGGTGAGTTGGGCGAAACCGAGTTGCGAAACGGAGGAGAGGATATCGTTCGGGGTTTGAGAGGAAAGGGAAAGGGAGGGAGGACACGTGGCGGCGGCGGAGGAGGAGGAGCGGCGGGTGGGGAGGGAGAGATTAGGTGGTAGGCGGTGGAGGAGACGCGAGAGAGCGTCGGCGGCGTCAGAAGTTGAGAGGAGATTGTTAGGGTGGGTCGACGGTGTTGGCGGCGGAGCTGAGGTGGCGCCGCCGTATAGGTTTGGTATGAGTTGATGTTGCTTGTGAGCTGAAGAGGCCATGACGTGGAAAGAACAAATGCGAAAACTGTGACTGAATGATTGAGACCCTCTGTTTGGAAACTTGAGACCCTTTGTGTTTGTTACTTTGTTCATATATATATATATATATATAGAGGGTTAAATGTTTGTTATGTCACATGACTCATTTTTATCTTTCTTGCACAGATAACAAGAGTCCCATCGGCCATTTTTCTTTTAATTTAAAAAAAAAATTGATGGGCCCCATGTTTGATTGTTTAGGCAGGAAAATTGAAATTTAATTCTGTAACATGATAAACTTTTAACCCTTATATATATATATAGGGAAATTATTGTCTCATTTTACATGACATAGCTATCTCATGTTCCTCTCACATAAAAAGTTGTGCCACTATTTTTTTCTTTTTTTAATGTATGGTGGGTCTCACCACATCATGTGTCTATGGTAGGAGATACTTATCTCCAACAACATGAGAAAAATAGAACTTATATATATATATATATATGTTGAGTTTACCATCTATCATTTAATATGACCACAAAATTTTTTCTATACACACAACATTTCGTGGGGCTAGCAGTAAAATAAAAACTCCGGCACGCAAAACGAATCTCTATAACATAACATGATCATTTTTCTTACAACATAACTCTTATAAAACCCATATTCGTTGGACTTGTTTTGATGATTACAAGCGTGTGAATATTGGGAGACGAAGGAGAGTCGGAAGGACGATTCTCACGTGTGATCCATTTGCATATTTGTTTGCCTTCTATTTTTTTATTTTTTTTTGCCAATACATTAATTCTTCATTTCCTTGTTCAAACTGAGACAATATAGCTAACAATGTCTGATTTGGCAGGCATTATTAAACAATATTAGGATTTTCTTAAAACTATTTTATTGATGAATGGTACTTGTGGGCTGTGGCGGTATCATATTACAAATTTAAATTTAATATCATTAATTAGTGATTAGTACATAATTGTACATGCATTGCTTAACAACCTTGCAACTTGTAAGTATATGCATCTAGAATAATGGCAAATATATTGTCGATGAACAATCCTCTACTTTTTCAATCTAGGAGTAGAGAAGCCGATTGTAGTCCTTCTTTCTTCTGTGTTATTTTATTGGGTAATCTGATTATTATGTTACAGCCAAATAAAATGAGTTTAGACATTCCATAGATGGGGCCAGGGAAAATTTTTCTCTCATCTCAATTTTTCTTCTCTCTCTTAAATTTTTGTTTCTGCATGATGAAAGTATTTCTATTTCTTGTAATAGGACAATAATATTACCCTATTTTATTATATTTTGCGTTATTTTGGTTATTGTTTTCTTCTCTTGTGATACCTTGGTCTTGCTTTTCGGTATTTCGTTCAAGAGATATATCACCTTTTATTTTGGCGGCATTAGTATTTATTTATTTTTTAAGGTAATGAGTACATGATATTTTCATTTATATAATTTTTACTTAGTTCATACTTAATTAATATAGAATTTTATTACTCGCGCTTTTTTTTTTTAGGTAAACTTATTACTCACACTTTAATTCTCAATAATATAAAACTAATTGCAAGAAACAATATTTGTCGGTTCAATTTTTGCTTCTTCTGCCTATGGGATTCCAAATTTCAATGTTCGTTTATGAAATTCATTAATGACTTTCACAGCTTAAACAATCATATATTAGTGTTTATTGATAACTACCTTAATCGATATTGCACTCCTAAGCTAGGATTTCCTAGCTTTCAAAACCAATTACCCCCGTTTCCAAAAAAAAAAAAAAAATACCAATTATCCTAAAAAAAAAATTCATTTTTTTTGCAGTCAATATAGATAAATTATCTACATTAAATTTAAAATAACATTATTTTAGAACAAAAATCAAGATATTTTTGTAATAATAATTTATTTTAAGATTATAATAGTCTTTCATATTTCAATTTTTTAATTTTTCAATACAAAACGACGTCGTTCTAAGAATGAATGTAAATAACTTATTTATATTCATTGTAAAAACATTAAAGAAAAAAAGAAAATTGTTATAAGAAAAACATCTAATGTTAAAAGTATGTACATTCAAAATTAGGTAATTGCTAATCCACTAATATTCTGAATCAACAATCTATTGGCAAAATTCATCTGTATATAATATCATTGTCTGCATCTGCTTTGTGAGATAATGAAAAATAATGTCAAACACAATATTTTCAGCGTAAATATACATATGGTTTCATGGACTGGATAATAATTCTGTTTTTCCTGGAAAGGTGTGCATTTCAAATATCACTCAAATAAGGATGTAGAGAGTTGAACAGCTACGAATACGATGATAGCGTAGAATAGGAAAACCATAAAATAAAAAAAAAAAAATCAAGAAATTATGACACGTGTCAAGCAGGTAAAAATTCGCTACACTGTGTAGCGAATTATGTTGGATTCTGTCTGCTTGGCACGTGTCATTTTTGCTGACTGTGCAACCTGACATGACATATTTCGTTACACTGTGTAGCGAATTACTTGCAAACATATTTTGCTACACAGTGTAGCGAAATATGTCGCGTGGCATTTTGACAAAATTTACTGTTGACGTGGCAGTTTGGTAAATTTTTTTGCCAAGTGTGACAAAATGGTCACTCTTCCCGGGTATCCCCTCTCTACCCGGGTAGGTAAAAAATTTCAAAATATATCCGAATAGGGAGAAGTGTACCCGGGTAGACTTCATGGTCAATGATCAAATAAGGACAGATTGATGTTATATTTTCTGAAGAGGTTAAATTTTTAAAATAATTTATAAAAAGAGTCAATTTAATAATTAATTATTAAAATAGGCTATAGTGGTCAAAAAGTCGGAGTGAGAACGATACAAACCTGCAAAATAAAAAAATTATTGTCTTTTAAAGATAGTGCCGGGTTTTTCCTCTTTCCAAGCATCTATCAACTTTCTGTGCTTGCAAAATGTTAATATTAAAAATGTAATTAGTAATTTCTATATTAATGCTTTCTTGTTGCTGTGACAATATTATATTTTCTTCTAAAAATAAAAAAGAGAGAAATTGAGAAAAAAAAAATTAAATAGAACCGCTTTTTAAATTTTTAGAAAATGGAAATATCCAATGAGCACAATAAAAAAGGATTTATTATTCTCCTTTTAAATGAGATAAGATTTTTTCCTGTAAATTTAAAAAATGTGGGTTCATTTAATTTTTCTTTTCTTTTTTTTTTTAGTGGAATCCACAGTTGAATTGTATCTATCGCCGGAGATAAAAAAATCCTTGTTAAAAGAGACGAATAAAGCTCATAAAAAAATCCTTCTTGTATATAGTTGTGTGTTGCTTCCAATAATTTTTTTAAGAGAAAAGTGTGAATTATTTTAAAAGTTATAAAGTTATGTCATTTTAAATGAGAGAAAGAGATAAATAAAATGAAAGAAATAGTGGATCAAAAAAATAAAAGTGTAGATGTCATATCTTTGTAAGAGTGAAATGACATAAATTATATCATTTAAAATGACAAATACTTTTCTCTTTTTTTTTTTTAAAATTGACATATGTTCGATTTTACTTTTAAATACCCAATAGTTTTTACTCTTTTTTTTTTCCAATAATTTGCATACAATTCTTGTGTGAATGATTACATTTGAAAAAAATTGTATGCAAGTTATTAAATTTTGTTGTTAATGTACAAATTTGGTCAATCATTTGTGATAGATGTCAAATTAGTGGATGGGACATGAATGTGTCAAACTCAAACAACTATTAAAGCATTTGCAGCAATCATTCATTTTTTTTTCGCTCTCTCTTAAAAGCGTTTTCTTCATTCATGGTTTCTCAGGGTACGGAAGTATGTTTGTTTACATGGCACGTAAGGACTCATCGACCTGGTAAATACTAATTAATCACACGAGGTTATATTTATAAATTTTTTGTTTATAAACTCTTATAAATTATATTAAGTATGAATGGTCATATTTTAATTATGCAGTATACAATCAGTCGCACTTAGTGTAATTTGCAAAATAATTTTGTAAACGGATCCTATCCCTTAGTTATATTATCATAAAAAAATAAATTATTCTAAAATAAATTATTATTCAAAATAGATATATAAATGTGTATTTCTTTTTAAATCTTAATAAATTAATATAATAATATTTTAAACTAGTGGAATACTACTCTTATTTTACAAGAGAGTAGTTCTCTCTTATTATAGAAAGAAGTCAGGTGAAGCTCACAATTCAACATCAACAATATCTTTATCCCAAATTAATTGGAGTTTGTGGTAAATGAACCCAAATAAAAGATACGAAAGAGTTGAAAACATAAGATAATTATCTCATATAAAATGAAAGTAATATTTTTTTTAAATAACTTTAAGGGCCTGTTTGGAGTACCTGATAAAGAATATAAGATATGATAATTTATCATATCCTATTTTTATCTCTTATTTGATGGGTCAATAGTATATGATTAGCTTATCCTATTGTCTCATTTTATCTTATCCAATACATGATTTCTTATCCTATGGGGAAGCTGGGTTATGATTCAACAAGATAAGATACCAATATTGGATACCCAATATATCCCCATGCTACCTCCCTTCCAAACCCACTCCTCCCTCTCGACCATCTCCCTCCTCCTCATCCTTGTCGAACTCCTTCTCTCTCTTATTCTCATCCGAGTGAGGCTCGACGCTGTTTGGTGTGGTTGGAGCATTCAGCTTCAAGTGTCTCTTCATTCATTTATATAGTAGGTTCATGAACTCGTACTCTTAATTTTCTCTCTCTCTATCATCTAAGGATTTTCCATTTGTTTCCTTTGTTAAAATTTCCTTCGAATTCGTAAGCTGAGAATTATTCCTTGCCTTTTCGCGAAAAGATCCCTGAGTTTTTCTCACCTTGTTTTTCCACAGGAACCCCAATTCCAGGATTTTGTTGTTACTAATCAGAACAAATTTCTCTACAAGAACCCTAAACCCCAATTTCTGAATTGGGGTATCTTAAATAGAACAAATTTCACAATCTTATCACATTACTAAGGTACTCATCAAACACAGGACATGATATAAACTTATTAGCC